AAGGCCTTTGGAGTTTCAAGTAGAAGATCACGTGTTTCTTAAGGTATCGCCCATGAGAGGATTATCCAGGTTCGGTAAGAAAGGGAAATTGAGTCCGCGGTACGTGGGACCTTTTGAGGTTTTAGAAAAGATCGGGGATTTAGCGTATCGACTTGCACTTCCGCCGAGTTTATCGCAGGTGCATAATGTATTCCACGTATCGATGTTGAGAAAATATGAACCGGACCCGACACATGTATTGAATTATGAAGAGATAGAAGTAGATGACAAAGTGTCATATGTCGAGAGGCCAATAAGAATTGAGGATCGTAAGGAACGAGTTTTGAGGAGTAAGACAATCCCGATGGTCAAAGTTATTTGGGAGCACCATGGGACTGAAGGCGCAACTTGGGAAAGTGAAGAGATGATGCAACGTCAATACCCCCAGTTATTTGAGCAGTAGTAAGATTTGTAAATTTTTTGGTAGTGGCGAGGTTTGTAAATTTCGAGGACGAAATTTTTGTAAGGGGGGAAGAGTTGTGACATCCTGAAAATTAGTCCATTTGGGATTTATAAAATACTGAGTTTTATGAATGTACTCGCAGTTAGTTCTCGCCCGGAACTGATCATTCCTGGGATACTAACCATTAGGGAAAGGCTAATTAGGGATTTAAATTCGTACGACTAAAGAAAATTCGATCGTGAATTGATTTTTGACCATGAAATCGTCGAGGTGATATTTTGAGCCACTGCTGGCCGATCCAAGGATAGCTAGGGGTTAGTTCGCCACTGTCATAGTAATGGATCGCGGGTGATTCCGCTGGACCATGAAATGACTTGACGAATTATACTGAAACTATACCGAACGATCGTATCCCTAGGATCTAGTAATTGATCCTCGCGATTTTAATGACAACCGAAGTCGTCACGAATCGGATGAACTTGCACGTGACATGAATTATTGTCAGTCACGAGTCGAATATGCGAATTTCCCCAACAAGCCGCCCGTTAATTTGAGAAACGCTCGAGTTGCGTTTAATAAAAATTTGATTATTTAATTTAGCCCAAATTGGACATTGGAAAAATTTGGAAGTCACAACGGGACGTTTGGACGACGTTGCGGTTGGAACGTGCAATTTTGAATGCGCCCGAATTCTTCAGAAAAATTCATTTTTGATGAGAAATGGGGAAAGTGACCATTTTACCCCTAAGGATTAACAAAGGGCATGCCTAAATAATTAGTAAATAATTAGTGAATTACTAAATAATTAGTCAAAATTTATCTAATCAATACACACAGGAAGATATTTCTAGATATATTACCGGTAAAGGATTTCTTAGTAATTAACTAAGCATCAAACTGTTGATAAAATCATTACATGCCAAAGAAAATGCGTAGAATTCAGCAGCAGAATGGTAATTCGTGTTATGGAGCAATGAGCCTGCCTTTGTGATTGATTTACCACTTGTTGCAGCATCGAGCGCCCAATCAGTACGATCCATTACATCATATCCCATGTCCTCCTCTGAACAACCTGGATGAAAAGTCTGATTGTGAGATGTGGAGTGGTTCAGGTAAACGCTGCATGTTCGACAGGATGTTCATACTTTCTTGTTGCTATATTCAAAATTTTTTGGTTCAAAAAAGAGGTGATGGTAGTGGAACATCCGAGTTTTTAGAACCAGAAGTTGAAAAGCCTAAAAGTGAAAAGCATGAATCTTCTGTATGTATTACTAGCTAATTTACTGCTCATTAAGATTTTCCTGATATGCCTCTTCAACTTTTCCTTTTGAATATTCAAAGCGATCTATATGCTTACTTTCTACTTATAGAATGGGTATTTGCTTCTCTGTTTAATATCTCTTCAGGTACTGTCTGCCACCAAAATAGCTAAGAAGATAAAATTGATGTTCACTAAAGCATGGATATCGTTTTCGAGGTTGCTACTTCCACTTGATGTATATAAAGAGGTATGTCTGGGAACTACTTTATAATCATGCGCATAAAAGTTTCCAGAGCATGCATGACTGTCTGTGGTGTCCCTGGTAGCGCTGTCCACTGGTTCATTGTGTTTCATTTTATGATTTGATCATCCAAATGGAGTATAAGATGATGGATTTATCTTTGCATCTTGGTACATCAACATTGGAACAAGTTTCGAGTTCCTGTTGACTGATGCAACTAGTTTGAAAGAGCCTTTGCCATCTAGTATTCTTCATTGCCGGTTGTTTGCCATGTAAAAATATGGAAAATCTTGTCTTTTTTAAGTGGTTATTTATTTTGGCTCCTGAAGCTCATATTAAGGTTGACGTTTAATAGTAGTTTGGTATAAGGAACAAATGTTTTAGTACGACCTTGTTTGGGTTGCTGGAATTACTAGCAAAACCATGTTTCCTTCATCGTCTCTAGTATTGACATTAGTTAACCTATCGCTCATGGTCATATTATCCTGGTTTCCTGATGGATGGGGTGTTGTATTGACTAAACGTCCAAAATTCTATTTAAAACTAAATGACATGCCTAGCTTTGGACACTCAGGTTCTGGTCTCTCTCCCTCAGGCAGTTATTCCTCACCTGTCTAATTCCATCAAGTAATGGTGAGTTTGTTTCCAGAATTTTTTTTTCCTTGTGAATTTGACATCTTTCATGCTCGAGAAATGCAACTTACGGTGTAAACTGAAAAATTGCAGTGATTTCTTAACGGGATCGTACGACATTGGTGGACTTGTCAGTGTCATGGCTCTGAGCAGTCTCTTCTTCCTCATGACGCAATATGGCTTAGAATATGCCAACTTCTATGAAAAACTTTATGCATGTTTGCAACCCTCAATGTTCATTGCAAAACACGGCAAAAATTTTCGAAGTGATCTTTCACTGATCATGTCTATTATAGTATCTGACTTTGTATCAGTTCTGCCAGCAGTCCTGCATCCCAATAATTTTCATTTGAATATGTGATTTATGTCTATATGGGACCTAGAATACTCTGAATTGTTATAGAGGCATGAAGTTAGCAATGATCAAGGGTTTGTAATTTGTGTATGCTACAAACTATGTTAATGCAATATGTGAACCATTACTTTCGGCAGCTTAGATAATGGTAATTTCTTCTGATGACCGATATGCAAGTTCATGTAGACGCCTGTGCATTAGTAGAGGTGGTAGAGCTATCCAATAAAGCGATTTGGACTATTCCTGACGTGAAGCTGACATTTTCTGTATGCTTTACTGGCTTCATTGCTTTCTTATGTTCTTACGTTGTCGAGACATATATGAACGTCTAAGAGTACGAACTTGAAGCTAGAGACAATCTATCTGGCATTTATGCTTTTCTGAACCTTTGGATTGCTTTCGGACCCTACGCTAATTGTTAATTGCAGCTGCTTGATTACTGCTTAAAATCACCCCCTCCTTCCAGCATATTTGGCTGCCGCTTTTGCTAAGAAACTTAGTCAACTAGCACTTTCTGTGCCTCCAGCAGGGGCACTGGTTATGGTTGCCCGTATCCACAATCTCTTAGGCATCCTTCAATCAACTGTTTGGTGCACAGTGTATTTACTTGGGCTCTGAGCGCAGCTTTAATTTTTGGTTCCTTTTTTTAATTCCTAAGGTCTCACTTCATTTACTTTTACTTTTTACTTTCTACTTAATATAAATCTTAAGGCTCATGCATTTTGACTTTTTTCAAAGAGAAAACTCTAGAAACTTTCGCAATACCCAAGTGTTGACACGCAGATTCACATATGATATTATTCACATTTTTCCTTTAGCAAATTTTTTTTTGATAATTTTCTAGAATTCAAGTAATAGTTTAAATTTTGGAGTTTGCTTTTGTTTAAACGCAGACAAGAATGCTCTTATTTTTTTATCTGATATGTGTGCTATGCATATATCTCACCATCTATGCGATGAATGTGATTTTATAAGTTTCCCGGGATGCCTATATTGAAACTCTTTTTAACTCTTTATAAGATTCTTTTATTCCAGCCCCACTTAGTGGTAAAATGGTTACGTTGTGGTTTTACCGGATTCTTTGTCAATTGGAATATTTTATAAGATGCATTTAAGCTTCTAGGAAAAAAGTAGAAATTTATAAGTCGACTGTTTCAAAGAAGTAATATAGTAGTAATGGCACTGCATGAAGAATGGAACTGTCAGCAGAAGGAAATCCCAAGTTAATAGAAACAGTTATTGGTTCAAAAAAAAAAAAAATAGAAACATTTACAGTGAACGCGAAAAGTTTCTTAAATGAGAATTTCCGCATGACATCTTCGGTAAGAAGATGTTGAAAGACATAAAAGATATGCTCTAAGACCTCCTCTAACATATATTGAACATGACTGCGCATTGTTTGTTTTCGCCAATGACTCGCTTATCACATGGTTCAATTCCAGTCGAAGATAATGGTGAAAACAAACAAAGCCGTTTCCAACTGGGTAAGTCAATGCATGGATTCTCTCACATCATTGCGCTCTATCTAGATCCTCTTAAGAGCTTCAAGCATTCAAGTGATACGTTCTTTTCTAGTACAAAGAAAAAGTTCCTCTTCGCCCTCCATGCCTTTGTTTTATCTCCATAATTAACAAAATAAAATTTAGGTGGCTCTGTCTAGGTTTTGATTATTTTCCCCTCTCATTCCATTCTTTTATTTTCGTATCACTTTCATGGAACATGATGTTATGAAGGGTTAACATATCAATGATTCAACTCGTTAAGAATAAAAGACAGTTAAGTAATTGAGCAAAAGAAAAGAAAGAAAGAAAGAAAGAAGTCGGGTGCAGCCTAAATTCACCGTTTCTTTTGGTGTGAACATAATGGAAAGATTTCGAGAGAGCATGGATGACCGTCTAACCGAACTAATTTTGAGATGCACATCCATAAGAAAATCGCGGTTGCAATCCTCACCTCCTTGTTTATCAGTAAAGATTTTAAAAGAAAATAAAAAGGAAAAGCGTAACCGAATAGGTTCCGCACACAATCCACAATCGCAGCTCATACGCATTAAAACAAAACGAAGAACAACCCTTTCACCTACCGGCAGAAGGAAGATCACGGCGATGAAGCTGTTAGCCATTATTTAAGGTCACCTCCTTAGGGTGAAAATCACCTTTGCCCCTTTCGTCCAAACAAAAACGAACCTCATGGCGGCCACTCCTCTCTCGACTCTTGTCCTGCTCAGCCAATGGCGCAAGTTTCTGCATGCTGAGCGCTCTCGCTTGATCCGGGAGAGCGTGAGGGCCGGGAGGAAAGCTATGTCTGCAGCGTCCAAAGCCTGTGCAGCTGCTGACGAGGCTTATCTCACGGAAGGCTATAAAGTCCTCCACAACAGGAGTGTCGTGGTGCATTCGCTCCAAGAAATAGAAGTTTTAATTGCTTTATTCGAGTGTACCGAAGGGCCCTATAGGCTTAATAGGGTTAGAGTTAATGGCCCGGAGATGGAAGTGGAACAGATGAGGAGAGTCTCGAGGCCGCCAAATTCGAGCTCGTGGAAGGGTATTCTTAGTGGTGATCTTGCTCTTTTGCCCTTTTTTCTTTTATTTACCTAACTTTTTAATTTTTAATTTATTTGCAGGAACACGTACGCCCTTCCGAACACGGCGCAGGAGTGACTCCGAAAGGCAGACGAGGAGAGGAAAGGAGAAGAAGAGTAGTGTAGGAGCAGTGCTCCTTTTATAGGGAGCAGGTTATATTTACATTTACTAGGTCCTCGCCAGCGGTCCGTTTAGCGCCATGCTGGCCGTTTAGCTGTTTGAGAAAGAGATTGTTGTCATGTTTGGCCTTTCCTCTTCCCCTTAAATAAATGATGGGTTTGAATTTTAGGCGATATGCGTGAACATTTTTAGACTTCCACACTAACATCCCACGCGAGAACATCCCTCAATATTGCTGTTCCCCCGCCATCGCCGAAGCTTCAAAAGCTTCGAACTTTTCATGGCCTTCACTGCAATTCCTTCTCTCTGTCCCAACAAGCTCGGCTCTCTTCGAGCCTTTGTGCTTCACTGTCCATAGCCAGCTCGACAATCCAGATGTCGAAGTTCCTGAGAGTACCACTGATAGCAAGTGATGCGTTCTTTTCTTGTTCTGTTAAAGTTCAGTCGGTCGATGGGCACAGTTTTAAGTGAAGCTTATGAATGTAGCCACCACACTCTATTTGCTTATCTCTCTTGAGTTGAACTTACTTTTCACTTTGAATTTTTGGCAATATGCATGAACATCTTTGGACTTTCCATTTAACGGTCACGGGGTCTTGTCTCAAAGCATAAGAGCGAAGATCATCTGAGTAATGGCATTAACATCAGGACTTCCATACTGTCATCCCACGCGAGAGCACCCCTCAATATTGTTGTTCCCCTGCCGTCGCCGAAGCTTCAAAAGCTTCGAACTTTTGACCTTTTCCCAACTTCTGGCCTTCGCCGCAATTCCTTCTCTCTGTCCCAACAAGCTCGGGTATTTTTACGCTTTGGTGGTAGTATTTTAGGTGAAACTCGTTTTTCTTTTCTCTGCTGGTCTGCTTTCTCGTAGAGGACAGGACATCTTACGATTGAGTACAGGATTGTATTGCCTTTTGCCTCATTCATGAATTTTTACTTATCAAGGAACCATCAAGAATTATAGTCATGCTATCCTAAGACATACTAATATTCTATAACCACATTTAAACTTCTTTTTTAGATTCGCCTTCAACTGCTGCCTTTTAAGCCCCTTAGCTCTCCGATTTCACGTGTAAACTATTGTTCAATGGCTTGGGAGATGCCTTATCTTATGATTACCAAGAAAAGATATCCAAAACGGTTCCTGGCCAGGAAAAAGGATTCCTGTTCAACTTTTCTTTTCTCCAGTTTCATCAAATCTTTCAGTTCAGTTTCTTCCCCAACTTTATCGATTTTCTTCGGCTTTAAAGAGATGCTTCAGCATCAAGCAATTTACATACCTATGTAGCAGTCCTGTTGGCTTTGTGATCAATTCTTCTTGCATCAGTATATGTGTCCAGTGGTTGTCCTTACTTCATCCGTTTCCCCACCAATATTATACGTTTCCTCGTTTGACTTTTACTTTTTTGTTTTTCCTTTTTCTCTCTCCCTCAGACGAGTCTTTGCACCACACAATCGGAATATGCTGATCGACTTTGCTGCCGTAAGTCCATCTTAATACCTCATGCTGGCCTCTCATTCTGGATTGATGGCCATTTGAACCTCTAGCTTTGTTTCCAAAAGGATACACATTAAGTTATTAAGATATGTACCTAGTAAACTTCTTATTATCACGTGCAGCCAGCATGTAGACTTTCAAGTTAAGTAATTATAAGCTTAGGTAACTTCGATCTGCAACTCTGTGCGCATATTGAATTTGAAAAAGAAATAACGAGACTGTGTGGTGGAACCTTTTCCTAGCCGTGTAGGAGGAACCTTTCTGAATTTGTCATATTGAGCATATATGTAACGACCCGGTCCGACGAGGGCGGGGAGTAGTCGCCGGGGTCCGAGGACCTGGACAAGGAGCGGCTTCCGGCAGGCTTCTAAGATGGCAAGGGGGGGCATGTCTCCTGTCCCACATCGCCTAAGGAGGGAGCCTTGGCCTTGCTTATAAAGGCTTGGGAAACCTTAACTTGCAAGAGGCCTTTTCTGGGGGTAGTATGGGCTGCCCTCGGAGGAACAAAACCATGAGGACTTAGTGTCCAAAGTAGACAATATCTTGCGAGTGGGACCCAGGTCGTTACAATATACTTGACAATGCTAAGTGCTGAATCTAGTAATTTTACTATCTTGCTTGAAATATCGATTGGGAAGAGTCAGTCCGTTCGAGCGAGAAGAGGATGCTCCATTGAATGATGGTAGTAATTCTCATGCACTCTGTTTTTATGGTTAGTCAAGAAGTACTAATGGTGGACCCATTACATTATTTGGTTGGTTTGGTCTTTGGATGGTCTGATTGTGCTGCTGTCCTTTGGGAGGAGTAGCTTCTGAGAGGATTCGCAGTTGAATGATGCTAGTAATTCTCATGTATTTTGTTTAATGATTGAGTGGAGAAGTTCTAAGGGCGGACCTGTTTCATTTTGGTTAGTTTGGTCTACGGATGGTCTTGTCATGTATACATGTTTCCTATGCTTCTGTACTTTTGCAAGGAGTAGCTTGTGAGTAGAAGTACGTTTATGATGCTATAAATATGAAAATGAGAGAGAGATGGGTGGGTGGGGGGGAGAGGGGGAGAGAGAGAGAGAGAGAGAGACTCGTTGTACAAAGTCAAATGCGAAAACTAATTGATCAGATAGACATGCAAGAAAGCCGTATTGTGGACCTAGAAGGTGTGATAATTTGCTTGTAAGCATGTGTTTCCCTCCCGCTGTTTCTGTAAGGACTGGAATTATATGGATCGTATGGAAGCTTCCAGCATATGAATCTTTTCGTATTTGTCCGGCTCTGTGCATCAGGAAAACCGCATTCTGCATTTCTGGCGGATTCCGCCAATTTGGAGTTCGATTGCAATTGTTGTGATGCAGTGCTTTACTTACAGAAATTCAAAATTTTACTCTGAGACTAAAACTGGAGGAGATTCATTATCATTCTTGTGCCGTGAAGTTCTACAACTTGACCTCTCTTTGATGTTGGAAGAATCCAGTTTATCATTCATCCTCCTGCTCAATCTGCAACGTATTGGCTTTTGAATGTGCCTTGATCTATTTGCTTCACCCACTTGGTGTCTGAAATTCAGAGGATAAGAAAAGACAAGATGAAGAATATGGGCAGACGAGGGCTCTGGTTCGAGATGGTTGAATGTATGTTAGCTAGTATTTCTTCTCCATTTGTTTGTACTTATTTCTCATTTTATTTCGACAGGCTCATTCTAGTTGTGATCAAGTAGGTGATTTTAAATTGTAAATGTTACGAAGGTCCCTTGACTATGAGTCTATTCTACCAATTTTGTCGTATTTCGATTGCCTTTCTCTAAGAATAATGAAATGTTTGCAATACAAAGCAAACATATGCTACCAGTTATTGATTTATGTAAAATTTATTGTTAATTTTCTTTACTTGCAGTAAGAAATTTCTCAACGATCATCACGATCCAGTAATCATTGCTGTGGATTTCAATTCTTTCTCCGGACGATGTACCTTCGGCTCCATATGATGTGCAATATTTATCTACGCATAGCTTTCAAATTAAATTTACTGTTTTTTTTTTTAACTTTCCTTTCTCAATTAAATTGGACATTGTGTATTTCTTATAGATAAAAGGAGGATTTTATTAATAAAAGAGATGTTCTTGTACATCAGAAACGTACAAGAACAAATTGAAAGAAAAACAAGCAAACGAAAGTATAACATCACGAGACTATACTGAACAGGACGGTAAATTGTTGGTTTTAGGGAAATGGGCACATTATGGATGCATGAGTTGTAGAATATATTTAGATTGATAGAGATGGGCAGCAGATCCTAAAGCTAGGATCAACCGGACGCATTCAAAAGAGAAAACCACGCACCTTAAAATTGAATGTTCACGCGTGAGGCAAAGCCCTTTATATCCCGTATCACCACTAAACCGGGGTGTTGGACATAACCTTGCGCAGCTCGTAAAGTTTGCCAAGCATGCTGTGTTCAGGTTCTGGATCTGAAAATATACAGTAAAGAGATTGACTTCTTGGAAATTCTTGTTGAGTATATACGGCGAGGTTCCTATTTTACACTGGCCTTTTTATCCTGGCTGCTACTTTGCCCACTTATTGCTGCTTCGCACACTACTTCATATAGTACTCATGTCTCTAGCTATGCTTTCATTCATGAAGAAGAATAAAGGAGTTTTAGTACTCCAGAATCTATTCAGGTAGGTATTGCCGAAAATCTGCTTATGTAGATGAAACAAAAACGGATTACCCCAAAGTATTCCTTGCTCCAACTTCTTCTGTCAAATGGTTGCTTTGATAATGCAACACTACTCGGGGAGATAAAATCAGCATAAATATTTTGTTTGGGAGAGGAGGGGAGGGGAGGGAAATGGAAGGCGGTGTTGAAATTTGGGAAAGATTCAAATTTTATGTGAGAATAAATGGAGAAAACATTTGAAAAAATTCCCAATTTTCTTCACCTATTTTCGTTTAATCCATGTCCCAAACAAAGCATAAAGGATCAGAGGGTGGAAACGTACAACATTTAGCTCTAAAAAATGAAAAGTAAAAACAAAGAAAGCTTACCGAGCCGTCTTAGATGGATATCCTCCGTGACAAAATCGAATGGAGTGATTCCATTAATTTTCAGTCAATCTCCTTCAGGGCATCTTAGTAGGTTTTTGTTCTGTTAATTGCTTGCGGGTCTATCAGTCTGTTTCATCGCGTATTCCACTTTTATGTTAAAATTGTGCACTTAAGCATATGGAATACCGATTTTGCTGGTGGAATGTCTTAAGTGCTACTAAAGTTTCTGTTTTGCTAATCTTGCTGTTAAAGGCCTTCAAAGACGGATGGACAAAACACAGGTTTTCTCCTGACAATAATATGTTACTGTTTCGCCGGAAATGGCTTCCGCGACGAAATGTATAATTCACCGAAAGTCGTTCTTCGGTTTTTAATGAGAGGAGACCGGGTTCTAGGTCTAATTCCGGACAGGAGCGATCTAGGCGTGAACAAAGGATGTGATTGTCTTGATTGATAACACAAATTTCACACGATGACAATATTTGACTCGAATTTTATAGAGTATTCAGACGAATCCATTCAATTACTGGCAGCGTCCAAAGTTCATCAACATGATATTACAAAGCTACTGACTTAGAACATAAATAGCTACAGCTACGGAAACTAAAAGTGCGAAACTGGAAAGTAAGGATA